ATATTTCTTTGGCGGTTGTACAATATGAAACTCTTCCATATTCATCTGGTCCAAGAGCATAAAATATGATACGGATTACTTTGGAGTTGAGCTGGAACATTCTTGTCTCTCATTCACTCCACAATCTTAGATGAGTGAGAGGCTTGATATATCCGTCTTCTACAACATTCCATGCTCCCATGTCACTTGCTTGAATGAAATACATCATCATATTCTTCCAGTAGGCATAGTTAGCTCCATTGAAGAAATGAGGCTTGTTAACAGGCATTGAATCGAGACCGGAGTCGACATTTGAAGTAGAGGCCATTGATGACTTGACAATCGATGTAACTCTTCCCGAATCGACTCAAGAGGCGATTAAACATTCAAATGGGTGAGGCTCTGATACCAATTGTTGAGTTAATCGATCGACATAATCGACCAAGAGGGGGTGAATTGGCAATTAAAATTTTGGTGGAGCTGTGCAGAAAATTGAAGTAATTGCACAGCGATTTAGAGTGGTTCGACTTTCTCAATCAAAGTCTACGTCCACTACCTTAGCTATCCACACTAAGGATTTTCCAAAGAATTCACTAATTTTTTCTTTCTTTTGAGGCCAAAGAGATAACCTTACAACTCCCTCAAGAATATACCCCAATTCTTGAGAACACTCTTTCTCAAAGAGAAGATTACAAATTTGCAAACTTACAAGGAAATCCTCATAAGGTAGATTGTTTGCACAATTCTAGAACAAATAAAGGAACACTAAAAAATGAATACAATTGAGTACAAGTAGTGTTCTTGAAAGCACAATGAATATTGCATGAAAAATAGGCTTGAAATGCTCAAACTTGAGGTTTGATGCTTTCTCTTTGATTCTTGTTGATTGTTGTTTCTTGTTCTTGATCAATGGCTTCTAAGCTTGTTTAAATACACCTTTAAATGATTCTGAACGTTGGGGATGCTTAGTGGAGTCAATATAGTCGTTTAAGTGTGAAAACAATTAATAAATTCAGTTGGGAGCGTCAGTGCATCGATGCATACCCATAGTGCATCGGTGCATCAGTATAAAATTCAAATATTTTGACCGTTGGACACTTAATGCATCGGTGCATCGGTGCACTAAGAGTGCATCGATGCATCAAGTGTATTCGATGTTTCAAAATAGCCAGAGTGCATCGATGCATCAAATGCATTCGATGTTTTCATAAAATCCTCAGCGCATCAATGCATGGTATGTGCATCGATGCATGAAATGCATTCGATGTTTAATTTAATTCATGGTGCATTGATGCATGGATTGGTGCATCGGTGCATCACTTTGAAAATTTGATTTTAGGCTTGATTTTGATTCAAAATACTTTGTGAAAATTGTTTAAAAAATATATGAAGTATAGAACACAATTTTGCACATTTAGTAAGGTTTGAATTTGATCTTGAAAAGACTTGGAGTAATTGATTTGATATTCGAATAATTTTGTCGAATATACTTATAAAATCATTTGTAAAATCTTAAAATTCATTTAAACTTAATTTGTTATATCGAAACACAAAAATATTTTCAACAGTCGTTAATGTCGGTGCCCCCTTGGGCTGTCAGACCCTCGATCCTCACCCATTACAGGTTTCGAATGGAACGAGTTCAATTCGAGGGGATTCACTGGCTTATACTTATATGAGGAATAAATCCCTACGAAGGTATAAGGTATGTATCCCATGGGTTAATTGCTAAAACTCATACGAAGAATAAATTCTTACGAGAGTAAAGTAATCACCCTGATTAATTTAGATCGAAGCTCGTGTATAGAGCTCATGTTATGCAGATGCACGTGATGTGTGTGAGGAGGAGTGTACCTACATTTGACGCAAAAGATGAACAAATAAAAACTCTCAACAAAAACTTAGCTGAAAGCAAAAATTAAAATGTTAGTATGACAATAAAAAATGAAGCAATTAAAAATTTCAATAAAAGGATCATAGATTAACTAAAGACTCGAACTCATAAATTTGACCACAACGACAATGTGTAATCGACCTACAGCCTGACTCTCTAAAAAAAAGTCATCCCCAGTGGAGTTGCCAAGCTATCATAACCATTTTTAGGTGGGACAATTATTTATTGCGGAAAACGGTTTCGACTTTAATTTTGGATAATTGGGTGATTTTGAATTAATTTGTATGAAATTGGATAGAGTCGCCATCGACCTTTGGGTTAGGGTAGGTCATATATCTAAAAACGTCTTTTTTAAAAAAAAATTAAGAAAAATCGTTTTTAAAGACAAAAGCTGATATGCGTTTACCAAAGATTTGATTAAAACGGGTTCGGGAGTCAGTGTGGGGAAGGATTAGCACCCCCACAGCGCCCAAAACTGGTACTGTGTGCTTACATGTGTCGTAATGGTGTAAATTAAAAATCGAATATAAAGTTAAATATGATCCATGTTATTGAACATTGATTAATTTACTTTAAATTAATTAATTAGAGAAAATTTTAACTCGAAAAGAAATGTCAAAAAGCAGTCTTCCATTGGGAAAGCTAACTCGACTATCTCTTATCAGTAAAATAATATTCTCTCCACATTGATATTTAAAAAACGCGAATCGAATATAAAATGGAGAATTAACATTTGCGTAAATAAATTGTTATTAAGAGAAACATGCAGTGCGTTGTTTGGTTTAAAATACGAAATAAATTAATTAACAAAATAAAGTTGAGTTCAGTTCACATTTTGTTAAAATATCGTATCGGATCGCATCACTTCAACCAAGTGAAGCTTTCCACGCTCATTCTACAAATCGGTATTCTTGAAAAACATTCGAATATAATGAAATATTAACAAGCATTAATATCGAAATAAGAAAGATATTGTCTAATATTTAAATAAGATTAATGAATAGATAAATAAAAGTATAATAATGAAAGTAAACACACACAATGAAATACATAAATAATTTGAACATAGGGACACACTCTTCAGATAAAAATAAAGCATTAAAGATATATTAATATATTATAAAGTAACATGTAAGACATAATACAAAGTATATAAGGTAACACATATATAAAAAAGGATTCATCGTGTGCAGTGCTCTATTGTTAACAAAAATAAAAAAAAAAAAAAAGGTCGTCTTTGTATCAAATTCAAGGGTTAAACCCCACAAATGTAATTAGGGTAAGTATCTTCTGAAATTGGGCTTCTACTTCATCGAATCTTCTATTTTCTTTCTAATTTCTGTAATTTTTGAAATCTTAGTTGAATAGAAAAGGAAACCACTCGTCAACATTGACAAATATATCATTAATATATGGAGGTAAGAAACAAATCTAATATATATATAATTACGTTAATTACTATCAATATAAAAAGCAAATGTCAAAGGTAATATGTAAATACCAATATAAATACATTAGGTAGTAAATGGTAAGTACTAAATAAAAAGAAATATATAAAAAACGTAATATGCTCCCATCAAAAGGCAAGATAAAATAATATAGTTGACTACACCAAATAAAAATTAAAAGGTAGAGAAAATATAAACAAGCCATAATAGCATGCAGGACTAAAATATAAAAAGGTAAATGTAAACCTAAAACAGAAACTTTAAAATATATCGACAATATGAACAAAATGGTAAAATGAAACAATAAAACTTATGATGATTAATCATGAATGTAGATATAAACATAAACATGTTTAATAAAATGAAACATGATTAAAATATAAAATAAATAAATTAGGAGCTCAAAGTAAAAATTATTGGAAATTCATTGGTGGCTGAAACGAATTCATACAAAGCTGAAAAGGACTTATAGTGTAATTCGACCATATGCCAAAACACGCTGAGCCCCCAGCAAACTATACCGTTTTGTGATTAAAATATAAGCCCAACTTGTCACTTACCCTTTCATTTGTTTCATTCTCTCATTTCGTGAAAGGAGAGAAAATGAGAGAGTTCTTAGAGAACTCTCAAATATAGGCGGACAACCGCCTCATCGGCCGCCCCTAGTCGGCGGCGATGCCGTATGCCGGCGTCGGATATTATAGAAAAAAGGCACAGTTGACACGTTTCTTTGCCCCAGTTATAGATCCGGGCTTCTTTTAACCAAAAGGAGTCCCGAGAAGCGTAGATCTAAGGAAAAACTTCTCGATTTACTTTGCTCCGATGAACCCACAACTCAGGTATGTCTCTCCTTTTCTATTCTTTTCACTCTGATTTCTAAAATAGGTTTGAATCTCTCTTTTCCTTTTTTTCTCATTCGTTCGAGAGCCCCTACATCGAATCTTTCATCCTTTGGTTGCCTCTATTTTTTTTATGATCGAGCCCCCCTTCTCACTTCGAATCTGTCTTCGCTTTATTTTTGCATGTCATTGCTTGGTGGTGGATTAGGTTTAGGGTAGTGAAAGATTAGGTTGAATCCCGTAATTTTCGGGATTAAGTGTCGTTTAGTGGGATTTTCTTTTGACTTTTGTTTGTGGGATTTTCGGTTGATTGTTCGCAGATGATAACGACGATGGCGGCTTGGTGGCTCGGCGGTGATCTGGAGAAGCAGAAGAAACGTTGTGCGGCGGCAGTTGGACCAGGGTTTAGAACCCATAAATAGCTCCTGATCAGGACCGTTGATTTGGGTCCAGATCCAACGGTTGGTGAAAGGGTTGGCTGGGAAACCCTAATCGGGTTCACACATGGTTGGATCGGGTCGGATCTTGTGCCGGTTCGGATCTCCTTTGAGTTGGGTCCTGGGCTGTTGTAATCTGCTTTGGGTTGTTGAGCTCTCTTATAGTAGATTGGGTTAATTCACTTGGGCTCAGAGATTTATCTTGTTGGGCTTCGAGTTGTAATGATTTGGGTCTGTAAAATGTAATTAAAATAAATAATAATAATAGTAGTAAAATAATAATAATATTATTATTAAATAATATTTTGACACGGACAAAAACGGGTGTGAACAGTTTCTTTTACCTATATTTGTCGAGTTTTGTATTAAAGAGTTTTCCGACCAGATCAAGCAGTTTAGAAGTATGATTCAATCTGCAGATCTTATAGCGCCGCATACATGGTTTCCCTTGCTCGGGCATGAAGCGAAGATTATTTATCACCGTGGCCCAACGAATAGTGGCAAGACTTACAATGCTTTGCAGCGTTATATGGAAGCAAAGAAGGGAATTTATTGCAGTCCACTTAGGCTTTTAGCTATGGAAGTTTTCGACAAAGTGAATGCACAGGGAGTTTACTGTAGCCTCCTCACGGGGCAAGAAAAGAAATTTGTCCCCTTCTCGAATCACGTTGCCTGTACTGTGGAAATGATGTCAACCGAGGATTATGATGTAGCTGTGATTGATGAAATCCAGATGATGTCGGACCCATATAGATGTTATGCATGGACAAGCTCATTGCTCGGATTGATATCTGATGAGATACATTTGTGTGGGGATCCAACTGTTCTCAATATTGTTAGAAAAATCTGTTCAGAGACCGGAGATGAGTTGCATGAACATCATTATGACAGGTTCAAACCGTTAGTGGTTGAAGCCAAGACACTGTTGGGAGATCTTAAAAATGTTCGATCAGGTGACTGCGTTGTTGCCTTCTCTAGGAGAGAGATATTTGAGGTGAAAATGGCTATTGAGAAACACACAAGCCATCGCTGCTGTGTTATTTATGGTGCCTTGCCACCCAAGACTCGCAGGCAGCAAGCTAATTGTTTAATGGTCAAGATAATGAATTCAATGTGCTTGTCGCCAGTGATTCTGTGGGAATGGGATTGAATCTCAATATTCGGAGAGTTGTCTTCTACAGTCTTTCAAAGTACAATGGTTACAAGATTGTTGCAGTTCCGGCATCACAGGTTAAGCAAATTGCAGGAAGAGCTGGTCGTAGAGGAAGCCGTTATCCAGACGGACTCACAACAACCTTGCATTTAGAGGATCTGGATTATCTAATCAATTGTTTGGTGAAAATTGCCGTTTGGATGGCTCGTACTTTTTGTGCCGACATGATCATATTAAGAAGGTCGCGAATATGTTGGAAAAGGTCCAGGGATTATCGTTGGAAGACCGGTTCAACTTTTGTTTTGCTCCGGTCAATATTAGAGACCCGAAAGCAATGTACTATCTCTTTAGGTTTGCTTCAGCTTACAATAAGAATGTCCCGGTTAGCATTGCGATGGGATTGCCTAAAGGTTCCGCTAAAAACGACGCGGAACTTCTTGATCTCGAGACAAAACACCAAGTCTTATCTATGTATCTTTGGCTATCTCACCAGTTCAGGGAGGAAACCTTTCCTTATTAGAAGAAATAGCCGTCAGTGTTGCCGAATTATTGGGTAACTCTCTCGTCAATGCATGCTGGAAACCGGAATCTAGACTGAGGGAAACCTAAGCCCGAAGAAAAGAAAGAAGGATACGAGAGACCGAGGTCACTTGTCAAATTACATGAGAAGTAAGTTCCTTGCAATTAAACTAACCATATGGATTGTTCTAAAATAAGAAATTAGGGCATGTGAGTCGGTTTTAGCAGTGCTCTGTTTATTAGTTACTTAACGGCGTTGCATTCGGCTATATCTGAAGAATTTTTGTGCATGCATGTGAAGGATGGCTAGCCCTCCATCCTCACAATTTGGTGTTCTTCCTGCAGGAAAAGGGCAGATAAATTCATACCGACGGGCGATTCGTTAGAAGCAATGTTGAAGCATGACTACATGCGTACGTGCATGCTGCTAGCATTTTGTGTGTGTGCAGTTAATGTGCAGGTGGTTAGCAGTTAGTTAGGGCTGTTAGAGTAGTTAGAAGTTGTTAGAGGGTTGTTAAGGCAGTAAGCTCATGTATAAATCCACTACACATTCTTGGTTAATGATATACTTCTTGTATCTTTTGATAAGCTTCAAGACTCTTGTGTATAAACTTCAACATGGTATCAGATGCGGTTGATCCGGTGGTATAATAAGAGTGTTTTGGTTAATTGCATATCTGCTATATGGCGCTCCCTACTTCTCCGTCCTCTGGTGGTGTTCTGAGCAACTCAGATCATTGGGTAGTTGCTTCCAAAGGGTTTACTAACAAGCGGTTGAGCGTGGTGCTTGATGAACGAAACTTCCTACTGTGGAAACAACAGGTCTTGTTGACAGTTAGGAGTCATCGACTTGAGAACCTGCTTTTTGGTTTGTTGGTTGCTCTGCCTGGACGGTTGTGTTGGATGGTGGCGCGATGGTTGAAAATGAAGATTATGAGGTCTTTGTGGCCCAAAACAGTGCCTTGGCCTCATGGCTGCTGTCTACAATCAGCCCGTCCTTACTACCGCATTTAGTGGGGGCTGAAACAGCTGCTCAAGTATGGAAGACGATTAACAAGATTTTTGCATGCAAGTCTACAACAACAACAATGAACCTGCACTATCAACTTAAAGCAGTTCATCAAGGAGATTTGGGGATGCGAGGCTACATATTTCAAGTTAAAGAGATATGTGATGCCTTGGCATCATGTGGCAGTCCAATGTCCAAATTGGAGCACATTGCGACAATCTTGAACGGGTTATCAGCTGAGTACAGGCCGGTTGTCACTGTTTTATCAGCCAGTCGAGATTCTTTGACCTTAGAAGGGGTTGTAGGTGTACTCATTGATGCTAAAACTCAACAAAAGAACTTCAACAGGTTTGATAATATAAATGCTGTTGCGAATGTCTCACAAGTGAAGGCTTCCATGGATGACAAAGCCAATCGGTTTGCTCGACAAGATCAATCTACATCAGCAAGACACATTGCCTATAACAATCAGACTGGTCGTGCGAGAGGCCGTGTCAAGGTGCAGTGCCAATTGTGTGGCAAGAATGATCACCTTGTTAACCGGTATTGGTACAAGTTTGATAAAACATTCTCAGGTGTAGACGAGTCTGATGAAAGGAACGTGTTTAAGGATCGAGTGCCTAATGCTAATATCTGTCACTTTAACTCCAACAACTGTGTGTGTGGAAACAAGGTCAATATGAGTGTAGTTGGAGCAAGTGATCAAGAACGGTTTAAGCCTACTGCAAATGTGTCTGCTACGAGCTCGTCCCCATCTTCCTGGTTTGTGAATTCGGGAGCCACTCATCATATCATGCCTGATGCCACAGAGGTTATGGATGGCACAGGTTATACAGGAGCTAGTAAGCTGACTGTAGGCAACGGTAATGGTTTGTGCATTAATAAAATTGGTCGAGCATCTGTTTTTACTGCATCTCGTGCTTTAATGTTGAGTGACTTGTTGCATGTACCCTCAATAACTAAGAAACTGGTATCGGTCTCCAAGCGTACTAGGGACAATGGAGTTTTCCTGGAATTTCATGCTGATCACTGTGTAGTTCGAGATGAGAGGACTGGTGCTGTGTTGCTACGAGGTAGAGAAACGGATGGCCTGTATGAATTCGGTGGTGTCTTGTTTACTCGGGGTCGAGCCGCTGAAGCAAATGTAGTCATTAGTTCTAGCAATAACTATGTACTATGGCATGATCGATTGGGTCATCCATCATGTAAAGTTTTGGTGCAAGTTTGCAAGCAATGTAATATCAACTTGCCAAGCAGTTTTAATAAACAGTCTTCCTGTATGTGTTTCGTGTCAAATGGTCAAAAGCCACAAGCTGTCGTTTTATGCGTCTGAAACTCAATATGAACAACCGTTCCAGTTGGTGTTTACCGATCTGTGGGGTCCTGGACATATTGTATCAAACGGTTTTCGATATTATGTGTCGTTTATAGATGCCTTTTCAAGGCATACTTGGGTGTATATGCTGAAAAACAAAGGGCAAGCTGTCACTTATTTCAGAGGCTAGTTCGAACTCAATTTGGTAAGGAGGTGAAAGCAGTGCAGAGTGATTGGGGAGGTGAGTATCGGTCTCTATCAACTATGCTTGCACAGTGTGGAATTCATCATCGTGTGACATGTCCTCATACGTCCCAACAGAATGGGGTGGTTGGAAGGAAACATAGGCATTTGTTTGAGATGGCATTGACTTTACTAGCTCGAGCAGCTTTACCTTTGAAGTATTGGTCGTTTGCAGTAGTGACTGCAGCTCACTTGATTAATAGGTTGCCAAGTAAGGTACTTCACGGCTGTACACCATTTGAGAAACTGTTTGGAAAGCCTCCTACGTACGATCATCTAAGGGTGTTTGGCTGCAGGTGCTTTCCTCACCTACGGGTGTTTCAACCCTATAAACTTGCATTCAGCTGTGTGTGCTCCTGGGCTACAGTATGAATAGCAACAACGTGAGGTACTTAATATTAGTAACCTGCAGGTATTGGGGAAGTGAGTAACTGTCATTCCGGGAACGTATTGGGTACGTGATACGGCATTGAGTTATCGTACCCATGCTACATAGGTATTTATCATTCACACCATCTTCATTAAAGTAAACACAATGCTTCATATGATGTTGTAATATTGAATTCTAAACCCTTTCAAGGTCTTATTTCATGAGAGTCTTTATTGAAGAATGTTAGTTGTTATTTACAGTGTATGATCCTTCAATCTGTGATTTCCTATTTTCCTATAACCAGTAAAAGCACTGATGGATTGCATTTTGTTAACTTTGTACTTCCTACTCCCCCCCCCCCAAATTGATGTACTTAATAACACCAACATTTTTAACGGTGTTACAATAATGTAAAATGTATCAGAATTAGTTTCAAGCATCGATTTGAGAGGAAACAAGTAAAAGCGATTAGTTTGCTCATATTACCTATTTTGTTACTAGAAAGACCAAAATGCAACCCACTACCTAGTGCAGAGACTTTTCTTTTTACCTATAACAACCTCATATCTATCATGTCATATAAGCAACTTTTATGTCTTAATCAAGAATTTAAATTACAATTGTGATTGTGCTGTGTTTATCACAATTGTGGATATAATAAATATTATTGCAGTTATTATGAGTATCACGCTCATACAATATTATTGGAGAACATTGTTACTGTTATATAACGTTTATTATTCCAATACTAAATTGTTATTTAAATCTTTGGTAATAATGAAATATGAGTCCTCATAACGAACTAGCGAACAAACCTTTGAAAGACAAACCAGTAAACCAACCTGTGTCGAAAAATATCCATACAGTTAACCTTAAAATGGTCGATCACACCAAACAAGACATATCATATTCAGAGAGGCAATAAGGTTAGTATAACATAATCGGCGGGGTGGGGGGGATTTTTTTTATCTTCCCCAAAACGTTCTTAAGACCTTGTTCCATCACTACTAAACAAGAAGAAAGTTTGGATCAAAATTGTCCCAGATGTCGTCTCCGATCCTGGTGTTAACACAGTTGGTAGTTGCACTGAGCTTGTTCTCATGTAATCGAACTATTAACAAATACAGGTTAGAGATCAACGGATTCCGAAGAAATGGACTGATACCTTTTCCCAATTCAGCAACATCTGATACCAGTTGCATACCATCTTTGGCCTCCAGGTTCAAAATGAAGTTTGAGAGAACATAAATCCCGAGCAAATTTGCATACAAGGGTAAAAATGCATCCTTATGGTTACCTACACCACCGATCCAGTCAACTCCGAGTTTTCCGATATGGTCCTTGGCGAATGATTCCAACTGGTGGAAAAATCTCGTTCTCCAATCAAGTAGATAGTTCATGGCCTCTTCTTTATCGAGCAATTCACCAATCCACAATTTTGTGATTGGAAGCTTCTCCAAGTGGGAACAACATATTTGACTAATCAACAGCTTCTCTTCATGGTGGTTATCAATTTCCTTGTCGAAAACCTGTCTCACGAGATCACCTTTGGATATTACGTAGTTTCCAGCATCTAGCATCCACTGCAGAAGACAATCGAAGTATAACATCCAGTGGCCGAAGATGGAAGAAAGATGTTTGAAACTCAGTTCAATTACCATTTCCACCTGCGTAGGAGCCCCACAAGTGTCGGACATAGTTCCGGAACTTTTGGAGGAAAGACACTTCTGGATGTCAGAAGCAACACTTTGTCTAATTCCATCATCTTCATCCTCGAGCAGTTTGATACATGTGAACCACATCTCCAGTATCTGATGTGCATAGATATTTACAGCACCTTGCTGTTCTAAACATGAGACCGAACCTTTTGAAGAGATTTGCTGGCTGATCACAAAAGAAACAATTACCTCAGCTTGTTCCAATAAGCCAGATGCAAACACAGATTCTGCTGCTGCCCGGCGCATGTTCACCGGCTCAGATGAAGCACTATGCTGCTTAATTAGATTGACATAAAAGGTAATGCATTCATAGAAGCAAGCTGATCCTTCTATATCACCAGATTCATTATATTCAGCAGCTTTCAGCCCCTTATCGTTACGAATAAAACCACCAAATAACCTAATTAACTGCTTTGCGCATATTGCCAGACAGCAGACAAGTATTTCTTGTGTTTTAGCATGTCGGGTGTGCTTGTACAAAGTTATCAGCTTATCCCAAAACCAAAATACGGAATTGCAATCCATCGCACCAACGTATAGGGTTCCGTCACTATTTTCTTCACTTAATTCATGAAACTTCAGCAAGTTCCAAGTGAAAATAATCCTCAGAATTTGGTATGTGCATCGATGATTCTTCTCCTGTTCCAAAAGCTTTATCAGTATAGGCTGAAGGTTAGCTTTTGTCCAGCTCTGTATAATTCTGGTCTCACTGCTCGACAGATTGTTTAGCTCAATTTCAGGTCGAGATTTCAGGAACTTATGCAGCCACTTCAAAGTTATTCGTCGAACTTCATATGATGAATCTGAGAAAGAACGAATCAACCTTTCCAGGAATCCATAATTCTCTACTTCATGGATTTGAAATGACATTGAATTCGATGGAGATCTTTGTGGAATCTGGAAAACTACTTCGTCAACCTCATCAGATGGTTGAAATAAACAACTAAAATAAGATGAAGCCGCATGTTGACGAAGTTCAGCTATTGTTGGATCATAATATGGAAGCCCGTAAGAAGCTTCAACATCTAAGCATTCTGTAGATAATTCCAAAAGTAGGTTTCGGATGGCAAACAAATTTTCGCTCATATGACACGATCTTGCAACACTAAGCATGTAATCCAGCACTTGCAAGAAAGCGCAGTTGAGGATGGGGCAAGGGCATCTTTTGGGGGTGGCAACCCAACAACACTTTGCAAGAGCTTCCATCAAGTCACCAAGAATCTGATCTTTCCTTGAGAAATCAGCAAGATTTCTACAATTTATATTGACAAGAGAGCCTAATTGCAATAGAAGTCCATGAATCAAATTGAAGGAAACACCGTGAGCTCCGTCGGCAGGATATAATGAAATTGATGCTGCAGTTGTTGTCGTTTTGTTCTCAGAATGAGGCAACTCCAAAGCAATATTAAGGAGAACGGTTGACAATTTCTCATTAGATACAAGTCCTGTCAAAGCTCGTGATGCAAGAATACGAACTCGCAGATTGCTTTGGGTTGAGCACCTCATGATGAAAGGCATGAAGAGGAAAGGATCCAGATCATCCCCCGTCTCACTCGCAATTGTTGAAGGCTTGAGCCTGGATAAAAGAATAAGCATAGGGCACAAACTTGGATGCACAACCTTTGCCAGGTTAGATTCAGATTGTCCCGACAATGCATCACCAAGCAATTCAGTTGCAATTTTCAGTTCGTTGAACACGAATGGATGCAGCAAAGGATACCTTCAAGATTAGATTTAATCAATAGTTAGTGGAGAAAATTTTGTAGCTTTCATGAACAAATAGCATTGGACTTTAAGGGTAAAATACATTTGACCATCCAGTATACACAGTTCTAAACTTTATAGTAGCCTTACAGGGTTATCCATGTATGAAATTCACAAAACGAAAGACATTCATTAAAGAACTTTTACCTATGAAAAATTCAAGCCCAGTTAACGCACGTCGAGCAGATTCTCGTTTATGACATTAAGGAATCCAATCATCCGACGTACCAAGGAAGTGTATGCAAGACAAGCACTGTTTCGAACCTCCCAGTACGGTGAAGAGAAAGAGCGAATCGAAACAATCAAAGCCTCAGCCGCAAAACCAGAAGTGTCAGAAGCAAGGTTAGTGTCATTGAAAGCAGCTCTAAGGGCATTAAAGGCATGCACTGTTGGAACAACACCTTCATCTCTGATCTTCGAGGTTTTTTCAGTTGCAATCGTCTCAGTTACCAATGCTGAAATGGTCTCTTGGCCAGACTTCATTGAGGAACTCTGGCATGAGATATTTGTGGAATCGGTTTCAGGTTGACCCAACAAAGACCCCTTTGCTACATCTATAAGCCACCTAAGTGCTCGCAGGAGGAGCTTCTTTGGAGCACCTTCTGGTTCTGCGAGGAAAAGAGCAATGAATGCTGCAGGTATACCCGCACTTCTTCGTAGCAAATCATCAACAGTTTGTCCTTTTGCTACTGTTCTATCCATAAGCTGCTCCATCCACGATTCTGTCAGCTTACAAAGCCTGCAAAACAAAGGCTCCATTAAATGTATTCAACATATAATTTTTATCTTACAAATAAAGTTCCAGACTTCCAGTATTGGATTAGTAAATACCCAAACCCAATGCAGGTTTTTTCTAAGACAAGGCTTAAATAACCAAGTATAAAACTTTAGAACATTTGAATAAACATACTGCATTTCTCTCTACCCCTTCTTTTCTTTTCATTTTTCTTCAGGAAATAAAAAAATGAAATAACAAGATAGAGTACGCAGATGCATAAGTTTTCGTATAACCCTGACTCCAACATGGCAAAATTTAATCCTAGGGTAACAGCTAAAGACGACAGCAAAGAGGAAACTTACATTGGGTCATTTGAACAGAGAAGACGATTGCAAGGGTAAACCCTGCTCTTGTCTTATCAATTGCACCTGCTTATTGTCTTATCAATTGCACCATTATGTTTCATCTTCAAAGAACTTCCAAGAAATGGTTCCCGATTTTCTCTAATTGTTTTAGATCAAGCATTACTTCAGATATTGTTGTCACTGACGCATCAGAAGAATCATAGCCGGGGTGTCCAGATTCTAATGAACCAGAACAGCTGTAACTTGGCAAAGGTATTTTCCGAATAATGGTCCCCAAAAGAAGACTTAGCTGGAAACAGGAAAAGTTACTGTTAGTGCTACGATCCTTATTTATATAAGCCAAGAAATCTAGAAATCCAGGGTTCATGTAAATTATATGATAAGGACTTCCTTCATTTTGGGGTTGTGTAGTATTGGAACTATTTATTAGCATAAATAATGAATTTATCATTTTCAATAGCATAGTAACAAGCTTACTACCTCTTTCATGGCTAGCCAGCAACCAACCATAACAACCTGATCTGACGGTCGTGCATCCTGAATAGATTTTGGGCTTTTGTCTTCACGTTCGATTGAAGGTAATTGAGCATCATTTTCATCAGAACCGTCCAGTAAGAAAGCATCAACGTCAACTATATCATCAATATCCTCAGGCAAGTACCAAGCATCTGCAGAAACAACCCATAGGGCCATTGAAGTTATTCGCACAACCAGCTCTAAGAGCTTCTCCAGAGCCCGTCTCGTATCTGAAATACTACACAAGACTGCATCTGAATTCCAATCCAATTCCTCGAAAGTATACCGTAGAGTAAGTAACACACCATGAACAAAACTATTCTTGCATGCTTCAGCCAGATCCTTCTCCCCTTCCTCCACAGAAACATCCAACCAATGAACAAGTGATTTAACATATTCCATCACAGGATGAACGGATGTACATTTCTGATAATCCCCACTTAATGGTGAATACTGTGAGTGAGAACAAACAGCACAAACAGACGCTCTGACTCGCCACCCGAGGTCCACCACATACTTTCTAAATATGAGCCTTAAGGTTAGAGCACCTGCATCACTCTCTCTCACACGAGGACTGCAAACTAATTTCTCAGCCCATGCAATTACTTTCTGGACCATGTCACCACTTGAAATGCCAGGAAGCGGAGTGGGAAAACGTAGCAAAATGCGGAAAGAACTCTCTCGCAGTCTGTCCCAACTATCAATTATGGATCCAACTAACAGGAACGTCGAGTCAGGTGAAGTAATCCCTACATTGTAAGGATAAAGACAGCTCTCGGGAGAAACAGAAGCTGAGCTTTCTTGAGAAGAAGGCATTATAGGCCAAACATTTATCATTATCAGTATAAGCTCCATTGCCATTATTTTCTCTTATAAGGAGCAGAAGGATAACAAGAGAAGAAAAGAAAACAACTCAACCACCTCATAAAATTAAATAGCTCCTCAGCTCTTCTAACTACATTTTCCTCAGTTCCATTACATAGACACAACTCACCGTTTTCATTGTTCAAACGAGGCTTCCAGCCTCCTTGCTTAAATTGCCTCTCCAAGGCTGTACGCACACGAGAAAAGAACTTCCTAAACAAGCTTGTCCATTTCATCTGAAAACCAGTTGAAGAGGACCTCATATTCAATGGCACAGCTTTTTTCATTAGAGAGAGTTCCAAAGAGGAAGGAAGACTAGATGTCTTGGGACTCAAGAAAAGAAACTCAGCAGCATCCACACGAAGTGACTCATCAATGTGTGTCAATGCTAGAACAAGCCACCCAACAAGGATCTTAACTTTTATCCCCTTTATGCAGACAAGTGCAAAGGGATTACCTTCCATATCAGATGTCACATAGTCATCACAAAAATCTATATCCCCTTCAATCATAGCAAGTGAACGAGAAACCTTAAGCAAAGATACTAAAACAGCCACTTTCTGTTCTACACTTAGTTCCATATTTTTAAAACCAAGATCAGGATATAAGAGGTCATTTTCCACCTCAGTTTGCCCAATGGAGATACAGGCAAGTAGAGGAAAAATTCCATCAACATCCACTTCTAGTAAAGCCGGGAGAGCATATGTGTTCAAATTTGAACGAAGCTTTGAAATCCCAGATGCAAGACCATGCAAAAATGGGGGCAAACAATGCTCTCTATAAAGTGCATACCCTCTTTCAATACCATAACAATTCCAACACTCATCCCGTAATATTCAAGGAAACACTTCAAGAATGATGTGGCAGCACAGCATACATCATCATCACTGTATGCCTGCACTACTTCAAACAGCAAGTTAGGACCCATATCCAGAATAGTCTTTGCTCCAAACCTCTTGGTCAACAAAGCTAAAGGAACATATCTCCCCTTACAACGTGACCCCAAACGAAGAAGATCTAAAGCAATCTTTTGTAGGAATGACTTTATTTTCTCACTACCGTCTGCCCCACAAAGAGAGGATTGAATGTCTAAGAAAAGATCAAAAATAAGATGAACTTGCTTGACCGTCTGACTTAGAGGATCTTCCAAGTTATTCCATATTATTCTCAGCATTCGGGTTTCCATATCCTCCGGCAATGGGTTGTACTCTTCAGATGCAATCATTAGGTTTGCCAGCATAGAAGTCTTAATCTGTTGCAAACAAATTTGCATTACAGTTAATGCATGAAAATTAAAATGGCTATCAGTGGGGTTCTCACAGTAATTACAGAGCTCAGGCAAAATCCCATCATACAATATAGTCTTCACAGAACTAGCAACATTTCCAAGGGACTCAGAATCACTACAAGTATCCCTTGATACAAGGAAATGCATATTTAGAACCATCCTCGGAACAGCAGTAAGAATGCCTCTAATCAAGCTAAGTCTATTCAAACCAGAGAGATTACGTATGTCAAGACAAACATCTCCTTTATATGGAACTTTGCTAATAACATTGTCAAACGAATCTTCATTGTTAGTGCAAGAATTAATAACAATTTGATCAAATATACCTTCAATGATAAACAAACCAAGCTCTTTCTCACAAAGGCAAACTTGCAAAGCAGCAAACAATCCCACACCAGCCGCCACGAAGCAGTCCCTTGAAAATGCAGCCGACTTCAATAGACTTACCAGAACCCCTAAAGCCATCTCCATTACATTAGAATCGTCACCACCCAATTTGCTAAACTTCTCTGGGAACTTCTGAAACAAGTAATACATGCAAGATAGAGCCTCCTGACACTGCTCCAGCACTATAGGAGAAGGTCTACCCCACCCTTGAGTCTCACAAACCACACTTTTCAACCCCAAAACAGCATCCCAACAAACCAAAACGGCACAGTCTCGAATCACATCAACTAAGTACCCCAGCTTCGGCATCCCCATTACTGATAAAACCACACGTGACAAAGAGAAACGCTTCTTCTTACTACTCATTGCACCATACTCATTACAAAGCGACCTGAAACACTCCCCGATAACGGGCTGCCAAACATCCTTGGTTTTAGCCAAAACTGACAAAAGGGTCTTATGCAAAGGCATTGAATTTTCCAAAAAGGAGACTTCCAAGTAAAAAGCAGTTGCCTTTGAAATCAAGGTCTCATTTCTTTCACCCTGTGATACAAACAGTTCGTTGAAAGAAGAAGCCAGCTTCCTGACATGGTTAACTTGGGAGTAAGTTGAGTTCAAAGAGATGAGATGGTGAAGCTCCTTGTAGAAGGCTGGGGCTGAGGCTGAGAGGGATGACTGGTTTAAGGAATCTATGAAGGAAGGTGGGAAAACGACGGCGTTGTTCGTGTAACGGTGGCGATTCTGTATTGCTCTCCACTTGGCTGACATTTTTCTTTTCCTTTTTGAAGATTGGTGTTGTGGGGTGAGTTTACTTTGCGTCTCTTGAGAGACAAGGAAGGAAGGGGAAATGGCGGCTTTGATTTAGCGGAGCTTTTATTCTATTACAGGGTTACGAGTTAGGGTTAAAGCGCAAAGATGGAAGATAGGCTTATCGGCCCTATATTTTGGAAATCGAACACCCAACCTACCATTTCTTATTGCTCTCAACTTGAATTATTAATTGATATATTATTTTATCTAAATTTAATTATAACTTTATGTAAATATTAATAAAATAATAAAATGTTCAACATTGAAATGAAATAGTGAATTGATTCGATTTAAATTTGAATATAGAAGTTTATGAATGTTATGAGTTGTGGCTTCTTTCGGTATGATTATGAAATCTCAACCTCAATCATTGTATGTCAATGTTATCAAAATTAGATCGGACCGGACCGGAAACCGGTTGTCTGGCCGGTCTGATCAGTCTCCAAAACCAGTTTTACAATGAACTGGTAGAATCAGTTGGGAACCGGTAAAATCGGTGTGAACCAACGGTTCACACAATTCTGTTTTTTTTTTAAAATTAAATCAAAAAAACTTCGTTTGTTATGATTTTTTTCAACCCCAAATTTATTTTCTGATTTATGTTACTTATAACTTGCATTTAAAGAATAGGTATAATGCCAAAATATTATTTCAATTCTTTATCCTTTTAAGCATAATCAATTAATCATTAATCAACTTCTTTCTTGATGTTGCGATATTTAATTTTAAGTTGCTCAAGAAGTCATGTTATGATCATATTGATTATGAATCTATTGATCATGTTGATTTTTGGATAGCTGAAGAAGAAACACCTCCTGAGCTTAATATTGATGAGATTGATAATTGTTTTGGAATTTGAGGGAATTAATTTCAATGAATATTATGATGATCGATACTTGTATCAATTATGTACTTTTTTTATTTAGTTGTTGATGAATTTCATTAGGTATTGACCTTAAATATTATGTTGTAGTTTATTTGAATCATTTTGTTTCACTTGATATTATGATATTTAACTTATATATGTTATGACTTGTGATATTTTTATACCTTTTAATATTGTGAACTTAAAAAGAGTGTTATATATATATATATATATATATATATATATATATGCTTTGAATATTATGTAAACTTTTAAAAAAATATTATTTTATATAAACCGGTCCAGTGAATCAGTACCTTCACCGGTTTAAGGTCTGGTCCGATTTTAAAAATATTAACTTTTAGGTTTACTAAGTTTTAGTATAAATAAGACACGAGTTAAGTATGTATATAATCAAATTTATTTTCCAGTCTATAATGATCTTATTAGAAATTAAGATTAATTAATAAGTTTATATTAGGGTTATAATTTTTAATTAATTTTTTGACATATTATTCTCATTATTATAATATCATTCTCGTTATCCACTCATCAGCTACTAATTGAGATTTCTCATTTTCGAATCACAGTTAAAAATTAAGGTCTATTATCATTTCTATCACTAATGGTATTAATACTTATACACGAGTATCGATATAAAAAATATCTTCGGAGTCCAATAATTACCCTTAGTATCGATATCCATGAGTATGGATACCACATGTTGGGTATCGATACTATCATCAAGTATAGATACAATTTTAGCCTCGAAATCTCCTAAAAATACTTTTGTATTAATATTACACTCTCGATGTCGATATAAGATGAGTAATATTATTATTCTATGAATAAGGTATCAACACTCCTCTTAAGAAATGTCTAAGTTTAAATTATAAATATTTAAATAAAAATTTATAAAAATATTTTAATTATTACACTATCTAAGTTTAAAGAAAAAAATATATTTAACATGTAATTAATTTAATTAGTATAAGTATCATATTTGTATATATAAAATGTAAAATAATATAAAAAAAATAATATTGATATCTTGAGTGGATATATTATTTTTAATGTATAAGATCTATCTTTTAATAACTCAAAATTAAATATTATTTTAAATAATCATATTTTTTACAACAATAATATTTTTACGTCATAAAATTATAAAATAATTAATATATTAAATATTAAAAATATAAAATAATTTTAATTACTCAAATTTATCAATAGTTTACTAAATTATTTTTTTGGATAAGTAAAATTCATTTATCCAAAAGAAGCAAACAAGTTGCTATACAACGTATATCCCCTATACAATCCCTATACAGCTATATCAACCCCCAAGCTGAACATAATTGTATATTTACAGCATCAAGTTTGTTCATATGAGATATGTACAATTTAATTCTCACAGCATTCTTAATACTACTTACAATAGTTTCATTCGGACGAATCAAACCTCGAAAAGCCTATAATCCCGCTCCTCCCAAGTGTAGTAAACAAATCTGGTCCAAGCCTGTTTGAGTAAATGAACCAGAAGAGATTTACCTTTGAGGTTCTGCAGCAACCATTGTAGATTGTCACTCCAACATAGAGGCTCCTGGGCAAGACCACAGGAGAGAAGGATAGCACGCTAAGTACCCTTTGCATAAACACACTCAGAAAAGAGATGATTGCGAGATTCAATACCATAATTACATAAGCCGCAAGCATTATCCGTAGCCAGACCAAACTTTGCAAGTCTTTCTTTCGTAGGCAATCTATCCAAGATTGCCATCCAAGAAATCAAAGAGAATTTGGGAATGTGACCTGGAAACCACACTAAACGATGCCAGCTAACCTTACCATGTCTGCTACGAATGTTGTCCCATATCCAACTAACTTTAATTTGAGCCCAACAATTACTAGAGCAGAACAGACTCAAAGCCATACTTCTTAATTTAAACAATTTAGCCAAAATCCAACTGAAGTGGCTTTTGCAATCAACATTCCAAAAATCAGCAGATCGAAAACATTATGCATTTAACCAAGCAATCCAAAAGGAGCCTTCCCCTGCCAGAATTTTCTTTATAAGCAATAGAAAACAGGCTTTGCTCCAGTCCAACAGATTCCTTAGCCCTAGGCCACCCTCAGATTTCAGGGAGTAGATCTGGCCCCAACTAACCTGAGTACCCCTAGCTGGAATATCACCCCCTTTCTAAAAAACCTCATGCAATGTCTCTCGATATCCCTGATCACTCCTTTAGGAAAAATAAGTTGCTTGCATAGGAAAAATAAGTTGCTTGCTCCAGTAACTAAAGATATTGAACAACACAGCTTTAATGAGTTGCAACCTACCACCGAAACTTAACTTCTTCCTAGACCATTTACTAAGCTTTTCTTTGACTTTAGTCACCAAAGCAGAACAGTCCTTCCCTGTGAGTTTCCTAGTTACCAAAGGTACACCAAGATACCTAACAGGGAGAATCCCAACTCGGAACCCAGTTACATATTGAATCTGCTCAAGGACTAGGTCAGGTACACCACAAGCATAGAGTTCAGTTTTCATGGCATTAAGTCTAAGACCAGAAAGTTCATAGAAAACCTCTAATGTGCTCAAAACACCCAACACAACTTCAAGGGAACCATGACAAAAGACCAATAGGTCATCAGCAAAGCAAAAATGAGTGAGGGAAATCCTCTTGCATTTGGGGTGGTATCTAAAAATTCCACTCTTAGCAGCAACATCAAGCAAAGAAGAGAGAACATTCATAACTAAAACAAAAAGGTAAGGGGATAAAGGATCCCCTTGCCTAACCCCTCTAGCACCCTTAAAGAAACCTACAAGGCTTCCATTTAATGAAATTGAAAATTTAGGAGAAGTAACACAAGTCCTTATCCATCCACAAAATCTAGCAGGCATGCCCATGGCTTTAAGCACAACCATCAAAAAATCCCAATTCACAGAATCAAAGGCTTTTTGCAAATCAATCTTAATGGCACACCTAGGAGAAAGGCTCTTCATAGAGTAACCTTTGACTATCTCTTGAGCAAGCAGTGTATTGTCTGCAATATTCCTACCTTTAACAAAAGTAGTATGACTGAGAGAAATCATCCCAGGGAAAAATTGAGACATCCTAGTAGTGAGGATCCTAGTGATGGTTTTATAAACCACAGAACAACAAGAAATTGGTCTAAATTCTTTGGCCATGCAAGCATTCAATTACTTAGGGACTAAGGTGATAGTAGTGGCATTAAAAGCTAACATCGAAAAAGAGGAATGAAAGAAGTACCTAATTGTAGCAAGGAAATCACATTCAACCACCTCCCAGGCAGCCTTAAAAAACCAAGAGGAGTAGCCATCAGGCCCTGGGCTTTTCCCATTACCTTGCCTAAATAAAGCATCTTTTATTTCTTTATCATCCACATCTTTGGAGAGGATCTCCCATCATCCTCAGGCAGTGAGAAATTTAACAGATTTCTCAAGTATTCCACAGAAGAACACTTGACTAGAGGATCCACAGTTCCAATGAGATTAGTGAAAAAGTTCACTAGCTCATCAGCCATGTCATCAAAGGAGTCCAGATATTGCCCACTTTCACTCTATAAGACTTTAATAGTGTTCATTTTCTTATTTGACTCAACTCTTTGATGGAAAAATTTAGTGTTGAGATCACCTTGTTTTAACCAGTGCACCTTAGCCTTCTGCTTGTAAAATTCAGACTCAGCAATCTTCAAGTCAACCAATTCAGCATGAATCCTTATCTTCTCCTACAAACTTCTTTGATCCATATGGTTCAGATTATGCAGTTGGATTCTTTCATAATCTGCTCTCTTACTGAGGACCCTATTAGAGATATCAGAGAACTGATCCTTATTAAACTCTTTGAGTCTAGGCTTTAGCCTTTTCAACTTAAGAAATAAACATTGCATTGGGTTGCCATCACAATGTTCCAGCCAAGAGTCCTTAACAATTCTCAAGAAATCAACACTTGCAGTCCAACAGTTAAAAAATTTAAAAGGCTTAGGCCTCCTAGCCAAAGTACCCCTCTGAGTCCATAGAACACCTAGGAAATGATCTGAGACACCTTGTACCATAAATTCAACATATGAATCAGGAAAATCAATCAGTCATTGAGGATTTACCAAAATTCTATCCAAATTACGAGCCAAAAACCCCTCAATTTGTCTGTTAGACCAGGTGAAAGTGGACCCCAGGTAAGGGTGATCCATGAGGTCTA